TCGTCTTCCCACCACCCTCGTTCTTTCAAATAACTCCTCTTTCGGACCCAAGCGCTATTCTAAGACCATCTTCAACCCTTTTAAAATTTAAAATTTTTAGTCCGGAAAATTTAAGTTTTAACCTAAAAACAGTTTTTTTTGCTCCAACCTTTCTGGGTTAAAATTTTAGTTTAAAGAATGAATTTAGCTTAATTTTTTTTTCTTAAAGCAACTTTTTTAAAAGAAAAAAATTGGGTAGACTATCTTAATTTAATTTTATGAACATTTTAACCTAAAAATAATTAGATTCAGACAAATATTGAAAATTTACTAATTGACACCATGGAACTCGTGAAACACTATGAAAAAAATATGAAACACATAAAAGAATTTCTTTTTAATTACTTTAGCTGTTGAATTTAAATTTGGACCACTAGATATTTATTTTTTTTACCGTTAGATTTCAGTAAATTAGATCTTAATCGTTGGATTCAATGAATTTATAAATATAAAACTAAAAAAAATATACGTATATAATGAACCAACTCCACTAATCCTGAGAAAATCCTGGGTTAAATTTGACCCAGAAATAAGGAACTTAACAGTTCTAATCTTGGTTTATGCCTTTATTCTCTGGAAACTGCTCAATGGGGAACTAGTACTCTCAACTCTTCACAGCTGCAGGAATTACAAGCATTGTTGGGAGCATTTGAAGCCATTTTTGAGCTACCTACTACACTGCCACCATCCAGGTCACTTGATCATTCTATTGCTTTAGTTCCTGGTGCTAAACCGCCCAACTTGAGGCCTTATCACTATGGACCTCTTCAAAAAACGGAAATTGAGAAGGCTGTGCAGAAGCTTTTGGATGCAGGATTTATAAGGGCTAGCCATAGTCCCTTTTCATTTCCCGTACTTTTAGTCAAGAAGAAGGAGGGTACCTGGAGAATGTGCATTGACTATAAGGAATTGAATGCACTTACAATTAAAGACAAGTATCCAATTCCCCTTATTGATGACTTGTTGGATGAATTGCATGGTTCCAAGTATTTTTCTAAGCTCGATTTGTGTTCTGGATATCATCAAATTTTAATGAAACCTGAGGATGTGGGCAAGACAGCATTTCGAACCCATGAAGGTCACTATGAGTTTTTGGTGATGCCTTTTGGGCTCACTAATGCTCCTGCCACATTCCAAAATGTGATGAATGATCTGTTTAAACCATTCCTCAGGAAGTTTGTGCTTATTTTCTTTGATGATATACTCATCTATAGCACCTCTTGGCAGCACCACTTGGTTCATCTGAAAGAAGTCCTCACTGTGCTTCACAAAAATCAGCTATATCTCAAAAAGTCTAAGTGCTCTTTTGGTCAAAGTAGTGTTGAGTATCTGGGACATATAGTGTCTAAGGATGGGGTGGCTGCAGATCCATCAAAGCTCAAAGCAATTCAGCAGTGGCCTCAACCTAGAAATGTAAAGGAGTTAAGAGGATTTTTGGGGCTTACTGGTTATTATCGCAAATTTATTCCCGGTTATGGGAAGGTATGTCAACCTTTGTACAATTTGACCAAAAAAGAGGGATTTGCTTGGAATGATTCAGCTAGTGATGCTTTTAGACAGCTCAAGAGCATTATGTCCTCACCACAGGTTTTAGCACTTCCAGATTTTTCTCAAACCTTTGTTGTGGAGTGTGACGCTTCTGGAAATGGTATAGGTGCTGTTTTGCAACAAAATCACAGGCCAATTGCATTTTTCAGTCAAGCACTTGGGCCTAGGAACCAGGCATTATCGAGTTATGAGAGGGAGCTTATTGCCATAGTTCATGCGATACGTAAATGGCAGAATTATTTGCAAGGGAGGCACTTTGTTATAAAGACTGACCATAGCAGTTTGAAGTATTTCTTGGGGCAGAGAACCAACACTCAGTTCCAACAAAAATGGGTGGCTAAACTTCTCGGATTTGATTATGAAATTCAGTATCGAAGTGGGAAGGAAAATACTGTGGCAGATTCACTATCTCGAATTCCAGACCATCAGGAAATTGTTGCAGGGAACACTATGGAATTAGCTGCCATCTCTTATCTGTATTTTGGATGGATGGATGACTTAAGAAGGTATAATGAGAGTGATACTTGGATCATGGACAAAATTAGGGAGGTGACTGAGTACAAACTTAAGGGCACCACCAATCCTGCTTTAGCTAAATATTCTCTTGATAATGGGTTTTTATGCTACAAGAAGCGGGTAGTAATTAGTCCAACTTCTCAGTGGAGAACCAAGCTTATGGAGGAGCATCATAGCACACCAGCAGCAGGTCATCAAGGGGTAGCTAAAACTTATCACAGAACTAAGAAGGGGTTTTATTGGCAGGGAATGAAAGGGGATATAAGGAAGTTCATTGCTGAATGTGCCATCTGTCAACAAAACAAGTTTGAAACCATTGCACCACTTGGATTGCTTCAACCCTTACCTCTGCCACAAAGGGTGTGGTCTGATATTAGCATGGATTTTATAGTAGGATTGCCTAATTGCAAGGGAAAATCAGTTATCATGGTGATTGTGGACAGGCTTTCAAAGTACAGTCATTTTATTGCCCTTGCTCATCCTTACAATGCTTCTATAGTTGCTCAATTATTCATAGAACATGTTTTCCAATTGCATGGCATGCCTAATTCCATTGTGAGTGATCGAGATCCAGTGTTTGTAAGTGCTTTTTGGAAAGAACTCTTTAGACTCCAAGGTTCCAAACTTTGCATGAGTTCTGGATATCATCCGCAAACTGATGGGTAGACTGAGGTAATGAATCGATGTTTGGAGACCTATTTAAGGTGCTTTGTTGGAGGACAACCGAGGAAATGGGTTCAATGGTTGCCATGGGCAGAGTGGTGCTTTAATACTGCATACCATACTTCTTCTAAGTATACTCCCTTTGAAGTGGTGTATGGTTTTCCCCCACCATACATGGTTCCACATGAGGTTGGTTCCACCAAAGTAGCTTCTGTGGAACAATGCATGATTGAACGAGATGGGCTGCTGTCAGTATTAAAGAATAATTTGCAGCTAGCTCAAAATCGCATGAAAGTGCAAGTAGACAAGAAAATGACTGAGAGACACTTTAATGTTGGAGATATGGTGTATTTGAAGTTGGTGCCCTATCAATTGCACTCATTGGTGAATCATAGTTATCATAAATTACAACCACAGTTCTATGGTCCTTATGTAGTTCTTGAGAAGATTGGAGCTGTGGCATACAAGTTAAAACTTCCTGAGGGGTCCAAAGTCCATCTTGTGTTTCATGTTAGCTGTCTCAAGAAACAGGTTGGAAACAATGAGATTCCCCAGATTGAACTTCCTTTGGTGTCTGAGGATGGCTTGGTTCAGGACATACCTGCAACAATTGTGTCGAGAAGGATGTATAAAAAGGGGAATGTGGCGGGAGTTCAACTTCTAGTGCAATGGAAGGGTAAGGAAGCTGCAGATGCAACTTGGGAAGATTTTGATGAGTTCCAAAAACGATTTCCAGATTTTGTAGTTTAACCTTGAGGACAAGGTTGTTCTGAAGGGGAAGGCATTGTTATGATCTTGTGATTACTTCGATTACAAGTACTAAGAAGGGACCAAAATGTAATAAGTGAGATAGATTTGGGGGTCATTTTCCTATTTGTAGTTTTAAGGGAGTTTGTTTACAATTCGACAGGTTTTATGTTGTATTGGGTGACTATATAACCATCTGTGTTTCTTTGAAGTAAGGCATATATACAATTTTACAAAACCAATTTTTGTTCAGTGTTCTCTTCGACTTCCCTCGCCATTTCTGATTGTGCAAGCAGGTCTAGGTTGAACCTTGCTAGGGTTTGGTGTTAACAGTTTTGAGTTTTGTTAACAGTTTTGAGTTTTAACTTATATTTGGCCCAAGGTTAGAGCAAGTTGGAGTAAGTTTATAACCTAAAATTTAAATTTTACTCCAAAGATTGGAGTAGGTCTAAGAGAACAACCTCCTTTGGTTGCTCTGGAGACTGGCAGCACATCATCACTCGCCCCTCTCTCAACCTTATTATGCTTTTTCTTGTTGGACGATGATTACTAGAACTCGTCGAGTTTATGGCTAAATTCAATCATTTTGCAACGGTTATTAGCAGTAGTCGCAAGTACTCGTTCCCGCCAAAATTCATCTGGGATTATGGATTGACGAATGGTTAACGACCATTGACACCACAAAATCGGTTAAATGTGAGGGGTGTTATGGTCAAACGACGAAGCTCCGAGGTGAGATCCGGACAGTCCTCTCTAGATCTTGGTATGCTTTCTTGCAAGTTCGTTTGTTTTGTTTTTAGGGTTTGTGAGGAGGAAGAAGATCATCTCTGATTTCGAATTTGCAGCTTAACTAATTGGGCTCCGTTGGTAAGCTGCATATGTTTTTAGGGTTACGGTGCTTTAATTTATGTAGGGTACTCGATGATGCCCAATTTTTTTTTTGCTCATAAAAATTCTCTTGCTATGCTCAAAATAGGTATATTTTTTTTGTTCATTTAATTCTCAAATAAAAATTTGTGATCATTAGTCCCTTAACTTATCAAAACGTGCAGCTATAGTCCCTTTCATCAATTCTGTTAGAACTTCCGTTAAAATGAGTCACATAATGAAAACATGGGGAACAAGCATATGATTATATGTTTTCATCCAAATATTCAACAAATTTCTTACAATTTATTAAAAAAATGCAAAATAAATATATCTAATTTATATCGAAGAGCGGGTGCCTAGATGGGTCTAGTTGGGCTAGGCCAGCGCCTAGCCGCCCTTTCTTAATTTTTAAACGCCTGGAAATTAATCAAGAACGGTAGCTAATTACCTAGCACCTAGGCGGGAATTTTAGAACAGATTTCAGTGTAACAAAATTATACAAATTTCGAAATTTCTGATCAGATTCGAATTATTAAATACATTCTCATTCTTATCCCTTTCTTTTTTTTTTTTTTTTTTTTTTTTGAATTTCGGTTTTGGATTTGAAACAGACAGAATATTTTAGAATATTTTGGCTCGAAACCAGTCCAAATCGATTAATTTTATCCAAGTTGCACCCCTACTTATGTTACATCATTGCTCGACATACAACAATGACCCTAAGTTATTGTCATGCAACATGCAAAGGGCTCTTATGAGTAAGGAATAGACCTAGCACATGTTTTGCTACTTTACAACACAATCGCTTCTCTCTTTTCTAACAATAAGAACCTATTTTGCTCGAACGAAATATTTTTCATACAATGCTTTAGAAATAGCAAGAGCATCTCCTTTTGCCTTCACCCGGTAAAGTTCGGTACCTGCTTGCCAATTGTTTGAAAACGCTATCCATTCTCTTCTCCATTCCTCCAACTTGAAGTCCTCATTGTCTCTCAAGCTTTTCGACAAAAGACCAAAGTAGGTTGAAGCGCGAGGTAGATAGTAGCTTTTCAATAGCCCACTCCAGAACTTATTTGCTGATGACAAGAAGAATTTCAATGTTACAAAGAAAAATAAGCGACAATGCTTCGAGTTACATTAAGTGAGGTCGAAGTTAGGATTACCATAATCATGAAGCCTGCTCTGGTTGGTTTTTGTGTTATCAAACCACATTGTCACCTGCGTCCTTGCATTCCACTCGTACTGAAAAAATAAAGTTTATAACATTTCGTAAGGTGAAATTTGGGCTGAACTCCTGATGTTTAGCAGGGTAATACAGTGCAGAAAACCCAGGAGAAAAGACAAGATGGCTCTTTTCCCTTGGATGCACAGAGAACATAAGCCTATAATGTATAAATTAAGATCAGGAAATGGAAAAATGTGTGGCTTAGCTAACCCCAATAATCGAACTAAGGTGTTGCGTCATGCTGATATGTCTAAACTAACTGTGCAATGTTATCCCCAAGAAAAATCTCATAAGCTAAAAGCAAATAGGCCAAAGAGGGAAATATTTGCTCTCACCTGCTGCATTTCCGTAGGATTAGCTGCCAGATTTTTTGCACTTTCAAGCCAGGTTCCAAGTAAAAAATTATCATCAGAAGCGAGCAGTTCATCAATATCCATTATGAGTTGAACAAACTTTTGACTATGGTGACTATAAGCTTTTACATCCCTCCTCCGATAAGCTGTCACTGCATCCAGATATACTTGATTCGCTAGCTTTGAAAGTACTTGCCGTGTCAAATCAACCAAGTCATATCTGTCACGGTGCCAAGAATAATTAGGAATGATCAAATGTTTTATTTCCCTTTTCCTACAATCGGCTTACTGGAAGTAATTGGATGTTTGAAGATAACTGTAAAATCCTATCGTGATCCATTTTTGTGTCTAAGGCGTTTTATTCAGCTGAGTTCCTTTGTCAAGAAACTAGCAGATAAAGAACTTGTATTTAACAACCTCTGGAAGGAAAGTGAACTTAAAGAGTGGTTACTATGCATGCTATGACACCAAGGAAAACAAAATCTAGACAAATGTTCTGCAGGGAGCAAGTGATTCATTCAGGAGAATTATATTTATCATGTGAATACAGGTCGGATCATATATCTCAGATTTCATAACACAAGAAAGCGGTTTTTCCTTTACCTATATGTCAGGCTTCCAGAGAATTCATTTCCAGTGTCAAGGAATAGTCGTAAAGCATTGACCACCTCTTGAGTAGAATACCACAAATGTGCCTGAGGCAAATTAGAGCTGGTTTTTTGGAGCAAAACTCTTCTCTTTTTATCGAGCAGGATGAATGATTGCATCTGGTTTTGTTTTGAAATGTTTGATATGTGATTTGGTGATGGATCCCAGTCAGGGAGTTTGACTATGAAATCTGTGTTATGGTCCTGCGACAAGTTAAATATCCATATCATTCGTGGTACGGTGAAAAGACACAAATCATTAACTACAGGAATCAGACTTTATTTACATCCACCTATCACGCCTAAGTTACTAACATAAGTAATGCATTGTAGTTAAAATTTATCGATTATGGAAACATCACATCTTGCCTCGTCAAAAACTATTCAAATGAAATACATGAAACATAATCAAAGCCATAGATGAATCAAAAAGTGTCCATCCGATAACAATACCACTAACTGATAAAGCATGGTTATGCTTTTTCCCCCTTTTTCAGTCTGGATAATGTCATAGATGCATCAAATGACTTGAGATAACCATTCGCATAAGGAAGCACAGTGATGTATGATGCCCTTCATAGTTTGATGATCATTCCAAAATTATGTTTTTGAAGAAATAAAAAGTCATACGCATTGGATCAATGGAGTATATTGAGATACGTACAGCAATCCCATCTGTACAGTTGTAAATTGTCTGGTGAAGGATGTCCCAAGCTGCCTCAACTTGAGGAACTGCATTACCATAGCGTCTCTGGGAATAGATCTTTAGCCAATCCTGCAAAGAGCGCATGCGTACATAAATTATTGTCAGCAACCAACAATCAACACAAAATGCTGTTTCTGTACTCATCTTAATTACTTCAAGTGAGTTAAGTCTATCATCTTTAACAGCTATTTGTAGAATGAAAAAAAAAAAAAAAAGACCCTGTTCTTTGAGAAGCAACTGCATTCTCATCTTCCAAACATCTACGTTTAGAGCTTCCATTTTGTGATGCTTGACAATCGTATGTGTTAATGGTGTAATCATATAAACAACCATTGAAGATAATGAAACTTTGACATATCTGTATCATGATCCAAAACCAAATTAAAGTTGTTTCATTCCTTATAAGTAAATAATGCGAGGTTTCCCAAGAGAGCTTTAAGTGTTTTAAATGATCAGAGCATCCCTTCACTCAATCACACATAATAGTAATGTTTTGGAAGATCAGAGCATCTCTTGGATCAATACATAATAGAAATTATCTAGACCACAACATATGGTAAAAACTTAAATAAAAAGACTGAAACATCACTTGCTTAACTATTGTTGACCAATAAAATCATTTACTGTTGAAAGTAAATTATAAAATCTCCACACAGCCATGCATTGGGCTTATACTGTACCGTAAGTACCATAGTGAAGCAAGACTTATCGTACTAAATCTCTTTTGTTTAAAGCCTAAAGTTTGGTACTTTCCCATGTGCGGAACTGCATCAACTTTGTTACACTTACATTGATGTTCAGAATATTTGAGAATAAATCCTTAACACTTGTTAGATGTCCACACGGTAACTACTCATGCTCACCTATGTCCACGACTCCACGTCATAGTTGCAAATAGCCAATGTATAAACTATTTATTCTTATTAGAATACAGAAACAAATATTTACACACTTAAAAAGGAACTAACAGCATCCCTAACTATTCCAATTATTGCAAAACATATAAAAATTCATAAATACCTGAACTTGAACCTTTTCACTGCGAAATGCCATTTCAGACGTCAATTCATAAACAACTGGATTGTGCTCAATACCTTCCATGCACATGCCAACTCCAACCTATCATAATAACGAAAAGTTGCTTTAAGTGTGCCTAAAAAAAGTAATTTTTTATTACATAAAATTATGAAATATACTTTTATTTCCCAGTGTTATTTTATAAATAACTAAATAAATATTGGTCACAGAATATCATTTTGTAGTGTGATGGCAAGATATTGGCACTTTTGTTTGAACATTAGAAAGTATAGACTAACATAAAAACATAAGTCTTTTACAGTAATAAGACATGCATGCAAGGTATCTGGCATACCATAGTAGAATTTTCACTAGTTCGGGCGTCAACTGGACCTGAAGAAATTGCATCCAATATACCATACATTTCAATGTTTCCACCAAAATTGTGCAAGAGACACCTGACGTAGATAAATAGTTGGCCAAGTAAAAAAAACATTTTGATCACAGGTGTTGAAACTTAATGTAAATACTAACAAATCAATAGAGGCGTATCTTGAAGATTAAGCTTCTCACTCAAGAAGTCAAGATTAACTAAAAGTTAACAAATTCAAGAGCTAATTACCAAATATAAGGAGTGCCATAAAATTGAGATGATGTTTTCCATATTGGTTTGACATCCGCAAATAGATCAAGAACTATCATTTTTCCAAACGGAACAGAATGTAGAAGAGCCTGCACATATATTTAAGTTGTTAGCGAATAAGAATAACAAATGATAAGTTTAAAGTGAAACCATGACTCTTCAAGCCACTGAATATTGCACAATGGCGTTCTAGGATTCATATAGCCAACCCCACTTAGTGGGCTAAGGCTTTGTTGTTGTTGTTGTATGATTACAGAACCCTGATGGTGAAGGATGGAGCTTGTTCCTCTATTATCTTCCACCAAAAGCCCTACTTCAATGGCACTGCCATATACTTTTCATGCACATGGCTGGATCTGATGTCTTTCTGTTCAACTGCCTCCAGGTGTTCTGGATGCAATTAGTTCTGATTTTTTCCCCTTATTACAGGGTTTACCAAAATGCTTAAGTTTTCCATTCTATGGTTATTAGTTGCTAATCAACTTTTTCCAAAAGCTGTACCAGGATTCCGGGAATCACAATATAACTAATTATGAAGAAATCCCTTTCACATTCACACACACACACATCAAATATTAAATTTTTTAGCCCTGCATATTTCATATGAGCAAGCCTACCTTCTGCTCCAATAAAGAACAGGAATTATTCAATGTTTATAGCACGCTAAGATTTGTATCATTATCTACAAACTAAATGCGTACTTTCATTTGAGGTGGTTTCCAAAAAGCAGAGTCTGAGTAGAAGAGCCAACCCTGCAAAATGACAAAACTTTCAGTCAGGAGTAATTATATGAATAACTGAGTGAAATTGCTCATATACAAGCAACTCAATTCCCACATTTATCGAACTTAGCATTGTCAAGGTCCATAACAAATAAATTGGTCACATGTGATACCCTAAAAACCAATAGAAACACCCTTGTGTATTTCCAACTGATCATGATATGAGCCAGATGATGCTTTGGTTTATTAATTAAGACGCATAGTGTACTGCCATGCAGGGTTAAAAACTTAAAAGTAAAATCATACCATAAATATATACATATTAATTGGAGATAACACCGATATGCTGCTTGCTTTTGAACTATAGCTGTGGTTAATGATTTGTATTATGTCTCAATGCAAATTTTCGAGGGTTGGTAACTATTGATGCAAAGTATTTCCTTAATTATAGATTCGTAGATAAAAATGAATTCATAGAAAGGGTGTCATATGGCTGACCCCATTCCCCCTCTAAAAGCATTTTGAGTAGCGATTAATTGTGTTCATTATACAATGTATAGCAAATTGACAGGGAAACTGATCGACATGATGAGTACCACTCGTTGCAAACTTCATGAATCACTGAAATCATTAAGGTCGTTCCATTTAAGATTCATTATATTTAAGTCATGAGTGTTGAGGACAGAAACTATTAAATACTTGAATATATCATAAAAATTAAATTGAAATGGATTGAGAGGGGCAGGAGTGGTTTGAAGAACTTAGGAGCATACTTGCATTAACCACACAGCATCCTTATCACCTTTAGACATTGCTTTATACACAGCAGCTCCAAGTGATGAGATATATGCTGTATCATTTGTTGGTGGAGTATTTTCATTGAAGGTATCACTGCATTAAATACAGCATTATTTACATAAATAAACTTGGTAGGCAAAATTAAGAAATCTATAATATGGAAGGAATATCTCGCAGTTGTTGGGAAAGATGTGAGAGATGAGTTCTGTTTCAACTTGTTAATAAAGTTCAAAGACGACAGAAACGGCCTGCCTAAGACAGGTCTGAATGGTCGACCGTAGATGCATTACCCTTAACCACCAAGGGGTGCCCAAAAGGGGAATTACTAAGAATATAAAAGTAGTTGCAACAGAAAAATATAAAAGTAGTTTGAGTTGGAAAATAACATGGTTTAATAACGTACTATACTACGAAAAAGTAAGTGTGAGAAGTTACCAGTTATAGATGTCAGTCACATCCCCATATTCTGTACAAAATGTAAGCCATGAAAATTAGTCAAACAACCAGAAAATATAACAAGAAACTGGAGACATCATGGTTAGGTTCTTGTCAGTTAAATCATCCATGGTCACTATCTTTGCACAAATGGACGAATGTAGCAAGTTGAATTAATAACTAAGAGACATGAAGCAAACCTTCAACTTGTCGCCTAACAAAAGCCGTCCCAATTTCAACAAATAAAGGATCAGAAGGATCAAGAAGATATGTACAGCACCAACGAGTATCACCATCAACAGTGTTCCTAATCATAACAACAAATATGGAAAATCTCAGAAAAAATATATAGCACATCTATTTCCAACATACTGTACATCCAGAAAGGGACAGTTTTCTAACTACAAACATGGAAGTCAAAATGAGGGTGGTGCGGTTAATTTATATTTTTTGTTCACAAGTGATTTGAAGTAATTCAGCTGTAGAAATTCAGTGACCGTCTAGGTCACATAAAGCTACGTCACATGGGACCTATATATAGTGACAAATTTATGGTAAAATAAAAGATCACATACCACTCTCCAAGTCTGGTTATATTTGCTGAAGGATATACCTTCTTCAAAGTCGCTGGAACATTTCCAGAAAATGATGGCAGCACTGAAGCAAAGAAGATATCACACATGAGTAGCCACATCATCCAAGTGACAATGTACTATGTCACTATATAACCCCTTGAAACATAATACATGTTTAGAAGATACGTGTAAAACAGTGTATCACTAGTATTGGTGGAGCATCATTGACAAAAAATTATCTCGGTAATTTTCTAATTTTGCAGTAAAAAAAAATTGGCAATCACCTGGAGTCATGCCTAGCTCTAACATCCTAGATAATATCTGTTTCTGCAAAACCAACTGCTGGTCTAACCAATTCTGTGATAAAGGCCCACCCCACCTGTGACAAGATTACTGTCAGTTTCTTTACAGCAAAAGCACGTGATCAAGTGCACAAGAAACATCAAGTAGAGCCTCTTCAGTTGACTTATTTTGTTTTAGAAGACCTGTGCACAGGGTAATAAAATCTTGTATCACCTCCACTTACGCATGTAAGTTTCCCATGCGAGCCCATGCAAGGAAGGCAGGTCCACCAAAGAAATCATTCAAATCTTCCTTACTAATATTGAAATCCTACAATAAGAATATTCTAGTCAAGTCTGATGAGAAGAATGAAGGAGGCACCAAAACTATGCTTACGTACTTAGCAAATGTGCATTGCCTAGACTTTAGATAAGGCAAAAACGTTAACAGAATATAAATCTAAGTCTGAAATATCATAATTATTCATTTTCCATTATGTAGCGTATCAGTCACACTGACTTCTAGAATGAAACAAGATTTTCTTGTAGTGTCCTTTTGTTTTCTCTATATTAGAATTTAGAACTGGAATGACAAATAGAAAATTGACCTGACTGTAAGCTCCAATGACAAAATAAAATCATCTCTGGTAAGAAACTAAGTTGCAGCAGCAGAAGTGTCAGCCAGATGGGAACTAAAATAATAATATCCAAGGGCAAAGTTTAGAAACTTAGAAACAGGAACGTTAATTTGTATTGGGAGTTTGCTTCAGTTTTAAAATTAAAATAATTAAATGAAGTGAAATATTCGAAGCAAAGTTTTGATTTTTGAAAGATGAACCAAGGATGAAAAATGGAGTTCATCACCCTCAAATAGCTTTCAAACATTGTGTGCTCCAGTTTGAACCAAATGGTGTGGGATTTGTTTTTGCCTTCTGGTTATTTGACGGGCAATGATTTAAAAAAAATCAAAAAAATAAGAAAGAAGAAGGGAGGGAAAATGGTTAGTTAGAGAATGTGTGAGGCTGCTTGGAGGACAATTGATGAGAAAGAGACAAGGAGTCCCCTCAAAAGGCCTCAGCTACAAAAAGCCGAATCAATATCTGCCTCATAACTAAGCCATATATGAAATCCAAACCTATTCATATGGCCACTCAAAAGGCATTCAATAAACATAAAATTACAAAAGAATATCATCGACAGGAAGAGACCAGAGACTAGTGCAGGTTCAAATCTATCTCTGTACTCAGTTGTAAAATTGTATTCTAACTGTGATACACATGAGCACAGACCACAACAAGCATATATGCAATACATCGTAAAGTTTATCAGAAAATAGAAAATTGTATTTCTCTCATGTTGAACATTCAAGGTTTTATGTTCTCCTTTTAATGCATGGCAGCCATGTGCTAATTAAGAAACTCCAGTTCCTATAAGCAAGCTATGCATACATGTTAAAAGCAGCAACATATACAAGACATATACTGTAGAAGCTTAGAATTTGATGAACACCTTCATATGTGTAAGAGCTTTTATAATTTACCATGAAGACTTTCTGCCAAATTGATTCTTGCCCTGTGAATGCTAAAGGCAGGTTAATCCCCTGAAGAGCCATCCAGTCTATTTCTTTCTGCCATCTCTCCCAATCCCACCAAACAAATGAATCTGCAAAAATGTGTCATATCACATACAGTTTATTAATTTTCCATTGCCACGATAAACATATCAACTAATGTAAAAGTATTACATTACAAGTTTTTTTTTAATGCAAATTAAGTATACTTTCTTCATTTCTTAATTTGCTTTTCATCCTCTTATTTCTCTTATGGTTGTACTGTCAAACTCATTGAGTTTGATTCATAAAACCCTCTCAGTGAAAACACAGGCACAGTTGTTTACGTCTCACCCCACTAGACTCCACATTAGCAGACCCTCATGCACTCAGCTGCCTTTTTTACTCTCAGTGAGACAAAGTACAACAATGTATAGACAACCTGATTGAAGCAAAAGCAGATACAAAGAGTCAATACTTACAGCTGGATGTAACAACATTTTGATAATAGTTCCACGGGACTGGTCGTTGTATCCTTAACCCTTCATCTCTTACACGAGGCAGTGATCCTGGACTTGGGATGGAAGCTAGCTGAGCACCACCAGTCTTGTCCCAGGAAACATGAGCCCCACACCAGTACTTCAAATACCAGTGGAGGCCAGATGCAATTTCCACTGCTGTGGTGCCTTTAACCCTGAAAGAGGACCGTGATAATCATAAAATTACAACTGCAGATGTTCCTTCTTAATTTCTTACAATCATTGAGTTTTAAGCTATCTAGCTCTTCAGGTCAATTTATCCTTGCATACTTGTGAGATAAACAATATATCCATATTGCCAAAGCAAGCAATTGAGAATATCACAGGTGCGAATAAAAAAATGAAAACATCTAGTCACAAACGTTAATCCCATTAGTAACTGGTTTTGGTATATCACACCTTCTTCATTGGGACTAACTCTTGATGAAAATTTATTTAATAAGCTACTTAAAACACATATCCCAAACAAATTTCAAGCAGTGCTGAATCAATACTTAATAAGTTTCCATAATGTAGCCAATCATTCCCTGTCCTCAAATTTCTATGATTTAGAATGTTAAATTCTTTTAAGATCAGAAGTTTCGTTCTTACAAATTCTGCAACAATACTGAAGGCTTTAGTTATATTTGATAGGCAGAAACTTTGCATGCAAGCACATAAATATATGCCAGAACTTTTGTTTCAAAACTGGAAAAGAAGAAAAAAGTAACTATATTTGGCAAGACATAGTTCAACATACTGTATCTCAGGACCATGTCGGCTTGACAGGTTGTAATTGTTTAGCATAAAGCAACTGTGTCCACCACAAGCATCCTGATATCGAATTTGAAGCAGTTAGCATGATGAATTACAATGAAATCAATGTTTGACTAAAGCCAGAGATAGTTAGAGGGAATGCCAAAGCAAAAGCAAAAAATGTTTGTGGCCGATCACGTATCAGTCACTTCAATCATGAATGGTATAGTTTAAAGTTTCATACTTGCCTATGTTTTCTCAACAAGCAAACATATCATACAACCATATAGTGATATAGATCTCAGAAACTGAATAATGCAAACACTGATACACATATTTATTCCTTTGAGATTATGTTGGATCCTACTTCCTGTTTTTCTTTTCCTCCCTTTTCTCAGTAACCAAGCAGAGTATCACAAGGAAGTTAAGTTTAAAACATGAAACTGGACAAGCAAACAGAACATAAAGATTTAAAAGAAATGATACCGGTCGAAAAGAGGCAATAATTAAGCAGAAAACAAACTACAACCCAAACTCAACCAAAAAACCTAAATTGAAATGCCCAATTGAAGTGTTAAAAGTGCTTTATGAACTAACTATGTTGAGCGGAAATACTTAAAGGCGCTTCTGTTAGTAGAAGCATTTTCTGGAGAAGCAGTTGTTATGTGCAAAACCAAACTTCATAAATAACTTGCAGTGAGTTGAACAAAAAAAAAGAAAAAAAAAAAAAAAAAATGTAACTTCCAGGGCATTTCCACGAAGCACTTGTATTTATAATAAAATTTTCTACATGTTTATAACAAAAGCGCTTTCATGAGCAGAAGTGCTTCCAACAAAAAGCAGTCAAAAAATATAACACAAATAGTCAAACCCAGAATCCAAATGTGAGAATTTTGAGCAAAAAAAGGAAAAAGAATAGTACTTGGGAGACAATCTTGAAATCGAAACTGTGAACATGGGTTGGAAGCAATCTTTCGAGAACAGCTTTAGCTGCAGCTTCTTGAACCGAAGCCGACGACCGTTTGGAGTCCAGACGGCGGAGCAACGCCGCAACTGCTTCTGCTTTTGCTGATACAGCTAGGATTGGTACAATAAATACAGCAATCAAAATTAGCAGCTGGATTTTGAAATTCGACATGGTTTCGGATGATATGATTGAGTGGGTATCACCGGCTCAATTTTTGAAATTTGTTTTAAGAAGAATCATCGCTGATTGCAAAGCCTTTTGTTGGCAGGTTACTGGTAGTACTTTTTTATATTTATTTTTTTTATTTTTTTATTTTTTTACAAACTATATTTGTCAACACGAGTGGAGGAATAGTTAAGTCTCTAGTTGAAATTCAAATTTGACGGGAAATGGGACTTACCTTTCGTATTTACAGAATAAAAAAGAATATCATTACATCGTAATACGTGATAAATTACAAAATCATTACCAACCTAACATAATTACAAAAGAGCAGCCCCAAATACAATCCGCAGACAACCAAAATATGGACCACCAAAGCAAACCCAAAATAAAGTTTTGAGCCCAAAACAAAGACAAAGGCCGACAACTTGAGAACTAGCTTCCTACCACCACCGCGGTCGGAACGCCGCTTTCCACCCGTCAGAACCAATGCTCCCAGCAAATATCTGAATTCAAGTCATACAGAGCCCGAAAAATGAAAGTGGAAAGACTTCAAACTCCTCCAACAAATACGACATCGTTCGCTACCGCACAATGAAAGAAGCAGGTTAAGAAGAAGCCCACTAATAACAGGTCCATCAAGAGCATATCAAGAGAAGGAGGTGGCATGCCGGATCGCTACGCACCTTTCAAGAGAATCCCAAAGAATCGCGAAATTTTGCGCTATAGCCGCGAGAAATCGCTGTGAAGGTAAGCGGGTAATAGAAGGTACAAAATTACTGTTTTTGGTCAACTCCCTTAGCAATTCGGTCTAAACGCACCATGTGACACGCAAATCACCTTAGAAGTATATTAATACTAGGCAAAACACTAACAATTAACTTCGTCAGATTTGGAGGAGATGTATTTGCAGGCTCTTATTACTTCTCCAAATCTGATTCTTTTTTTTTTTTTTCCTTCATACTTTGGTTTTTATATTTTATTTTAATAAACGATATTTATCTACGTTAAGGAGGTGGAGGAGTAGGTTAAACCTTATAATAGGCTAGCAATAATGCGGTTCAAATTCGTCTTTAACGAGAATTGAACCTAAAACCTCTTATTTACAAATAAAAAGGAATATCACTAAACCATATAACTAATTGACTATTTTGGTGATATTTTGACCAAAAGCAAAAAGTACTACGAGAAAGACAATCTACTTAAATTATATTTTGTAACCACATAATGTGGCAGGCGATGGCTGAATTTCTTTTTAAATCATTAAATTATATTTCAATGTATTGTTCGATGTTCCCTTATATGAAGCTCATATGCTTGTCATTGTAAAATAAATGTACGGTGCGACCATGTCAAAAGTAACCCGATACGATACATGGGACAACATGTCAACGATTTTTTTTCTAAATTATTATTTATTATAAGAGGAGGGGAAAGAGATCGAAACTATTACAATAATTTAGAAAATAGAGAGTTTCAAACCCAGAACTCATAAGTAGAAACCTAACATCCTATCCACTAAAATATTGATCACATACAACATGAACAATGATATTGTTATTGAATATCAATGCTATATTATTGACGTATTTGTTAAGAATTCTAAATCCAAGCCCTTAACCCTAAGCTCTAAGGTCCTCTTAAGAACAATCTAAGATCCTACACCCATAACGATCAACCTCATACTTTTACGGACATTTTAAAATTCTAAACTCAAAATGACCAACCTCATACTTTGACGGACCTTATAAAACTTTACCCTCTTAAATCTAATAGATCTTCTAAAATCCTAAAAAGAAGAATAATCTTCAGAAGAAGATAATAGTTTTAAAATCACTTTTCAGACACTTGTAAAAGGGAACCGGATCCCATCCGGATTCAAATAAACTGAGCCTAAGGATCAAAGGATCTGAACCATTGAAATTTGATCAAACAGTTATAATTAATATAACTTTTAAAGGGTCCCCTGTTTGTAGCCGTTTGATCAAATTTCAACGGCCCGGATCCTTTGCTTAGGAGGTTCAATTTATTTGGGTTCGGAGGGGATCTAGTTCCTTGTGAAAGGACCTAAGTTCACGCACCTCATTTACTTCTCACTCACCTCATAAGTATTTTTATGAATATTTACACTAATAACTTGAAAGTAAATGACAAAAATAAAATAGGTAAATTAATATTTTTTATTAAAAAACCAAAATAATTAGCAGCAGACAAATTCAAGAACCAGTTCAATCTCAAAAATTAAAATAAAGAGTTATTTAACTTAGTAAGCTTTTTATTGGATGATGGACCACATAAAGGGATCCTTTCCGGATTCCTTCCACCAAATTTACCAATCCGAACTCTTGAAATTTGATTAAACGACTACAAATATGAGGCTCTTTTAAAAATTATATTAACTTTGGTCGTTGGACTAAATTTCAAATATTCGGATTGGTAGATTGTGTGAATCCCTTTCCGATGGACCACTACCCCATATATATACCAACGTATGGATCTAGTAGCTTGACTCAAAAGGCAAAGCAAAAGGTTGTTGAAGAAACAAAAGGTAAAGCAAAGGATCAAAAGACCCTCCCGCTTCAACGAAGAAAAAAGGAAGAGGAAGTTAAAAGTGCTTTATAAACAACCAAAACTGGACAAGCAAGCAGAACATAAAGATTTGAAAGAAATGATATGGGTCGAAAAGAGGCAATAATTAAGCAGAAAACAAGCTCCAACCCAAACTTAACCAAAAAAATTAAATTGGGCATTGAAGTGTTAAAAGTGCTTTGTGAAACAACCAAAAGTGCTTATAACTACATTAAGTGGAAATACTTAAAGGCTCTTCTGTTAGTAAAAGCACCTTCTGGAGAAGCAATTGTTAATGTTATGTGCAAACCAAACTTCATCAAGAACTTCCAGTGAGGAGGCTAAACCTCATAATAAGCTAGCCATTATGTGGTTCAAATTCGTCTTTGGTAAGAATCAAACCTAAAACCTCTCATTTACAAATAAAGAGGAATACCACTAAACCGTATAACTAAGTGGCTATTTCGGTGTTATTTTGACCAAAAGAAAAGGGTAATATGAGAAAGGCCATATACTAATACAATAATTTAGAAGAAAGGGAGTTTTGAACTCGGGACTCATGGGTAGAAACTTAACATCCTATCCACTAAAATATTGATTGCATACAACATGAACAGCAATATTGGTATTGAGTATCAATGCTATATTATTGACATATTTGTTAAGAATTCTAAAACCCAAGCCCTTAACCCTAAGCTCTAAGGTCCCCTAAAGAACAATCTAAGGCCATCTCCAACCGAAGGAGGACCAAATGGCTTGTTTTAGGCCTATAGCCCTCCAAGAAATTAATATTTTAATGAACCATGCCAGGCCATATTTCTTAGGCCATCTCTAACCGAAGGGTCCAGAGGGCCGAAAATAGCCCGAAAACAGTCTCCAACCAAGGGTAGGCCAAAGGGCTCGTGGGCCCCATTGGACAAAAAAGGGCCAAAGGGCCAACCGGCTGGCCCAACCCAGCTAGTCCCGGGCAGGGCCACATGCTGACGTCATATTAAAAAAAAAAATTACAGTTTTTTTTTTTTTTTTTGTTTTTGGGCCAAAATTTTCTAAAAAAATATTTAATTATGGGTTTAGATTTTTTGGGGCATGAAGGTGATTTGGTCAAAGTTGGGACGTTCATATTATAAGCGTGTTTCCTTTCTCATTCATCTCCCAAGGCCGATGTGGGATAATTATAATGGGTGTAGTTGTAGTTGTAGTTCCTTTCATAAGCATGTTCCCTGCACAATTTATTTTAAATATTTAATTATATTACATTTAATTTGTTGTAGTTGTAGTTTTTAAATTTAAATAATAAATTATATTCGACCCTATGACCCTTAGGCCCTCGGTTGGAGATGATTTTTTGTGACAGGGCTAAAACGAGCCATATAGCCCTCGGTTGGAGATGGTAAGATCATCTCTAACCGAAGGGTCTAGAGCAAAAATAGCCCGAGAACCATCTCCAACCGAGGGCTAGGCCAGAGGGCTGAGTATTCCTATTGGATATAACCAACAAGAATACTTAAAAAAATTTTCGAATCCAACAACTAGTTGACGCCAATTACCATTGGATTCTTTTTTTTTTTTTGTTTTTTGGGTTTTTGGGTTTTTTTTTTTTAATTCTTAAAAATTCTAATTTTTTTTTCCTATAAATATCTAAACCATTCATTAAATTTAAGTTCTATTTTTTGTTTTGTTTTTTGGGCTAGTTATTGTTGTAGTTTTTAAATATAAGCTGTAGTTTTTAAATGTAAGTTGTAGTTTTTAAATTTAAGTTGTTGTAGTTTTTAAATTTAAATAATAAATTATGTTTGGCTCTCCGTTGGAGATGATTTTTTGTGACATGGCTAAAACAAGCCATATGGCCCTTTGGGGTTGGAGACGAAGACAAATATGGTCATGTACTGTTCATTAAAATATTAATATCTTGGATGGCCAGAAGGCTAAAACAAGCCCTCTGCCCAGCCTTCGGTTGGAGATGGCTTAAGAAATATGGCTTTGCACTGTTCATTAAAATATTAATTTCTTGGAAGGCCAGGGAGCTAAAATGAGCCTTCTGGCCAGCCTTCGATTAGAGATGGCCTAAGATCCTACACCCATAACTATCAACCTCATACTTTTACGAACATTTTAAAACTCTAAACTCAAAATGATCAACCTCATACTATGATGGACTTTATAAAACTTTATCCTCTTAAAACTAATGCACCTTCTAAAATCCTCAAAAAAAAAAAAGAATAATCTTCAAAAGAAGATAATAGTATTAAAATCACTTTCAGACACTTGTGAAATGCCTAAGGCCATCTCCAACTGAAGTAGGGTCAGAGGGCTTGTTTTAGCCCTTTGTCCCTCAAAGAAATTAATATTTTAATGAACAGTGTAGAACCATATTTCTTACTGTCTCCAACCGAGGGGTCAGAGGGCCATAGGCCAAACATTGCAATGTGACAAAAAAACCATATCCAACTAAGGGCCAAAGGGCTATAGTATGGAATGTGAAAAATTGAAATAAAATGAGGTAAGATAGTGTGAAATGATGAAAAATATGTGTGAAATGGTGTAGGAAAAAAATTAGAA